CTCTAAAAAATAGCCTCAAGTTGCTGGAATGGAGTATGGAGGTGTGGTGCTATGAGTGGTAATGTAAAGGGGGCAAGAACCTTAGGGTTTGAAGGGTTTGGAAGAGAGGGAGAGGGAGAGTTGTATGCAATACCCCAATTGGTTTTGTCAACCCTTAGAAATGGAGGAGAGTGATGGTTTTAAAGAGGGAGAGAGGCCAAGGAAAGGGAGGGAAAAACAAATTCAAATTTCCCCCCTAAAAGGCAGCCCCTCGGATACAGGATCTGGGGGGAAACAAATTGCACAGCTGGAATACACTTGGAGAGAGGATCATGCCTGGCCAGGTTCAAAAGGTTCAGGTGGTCGGCCGGCCACCCACCATGGCCCGCCGGCCAGGGGTCAAAAGGGTCAATGAAAATTGCTGGCCGGCCACCCAAAAAGGTGGCCTCTCATGTGTGCACAACACAAATGTGGTCAAAACCCAAAAAAATTAACCAGGAGAGAGAAAAGCCAACTTTTTAGAGGGGTTCAAAAGGGTCAGAAACAATTACTGGCCAGCCTATACATATTGGTGGCCTCACAGGTGTGTACAACACAAATATGGGGTTTAGGGCTAAAGAAAGTGGCCCCGAGGTGGTCAACATTAGCTTTTTAGTGAGGAAAATGGGCGACGGAGAGCGATAAAGAAATAAAGCTGGCTTTTTCAGAAAAATTGCTGGCCTCCCACCCTCCTACAAGCTTTCTAACAATGAAAATAAGGTCTCCACCAAAAATGAACCAAAACGGATGCAAAACGGAGGTTCGGGGACCGAAACGCGCGGCCTGAGGCCTCGAAAATGGGCTGTTAAACACCAGAGGTGGCATTCGACCACGAAGTTGGTCTCTCGAGCCACAGTGTCCCCCAAAAAGGAGTAAATAAGATGTGTGCCGAAAACCGGAGCAAATGGAGGTGGTTAGGCGGTCCCGAACCGAGGCACACGGCCGTCGGCTCCGAAAAACCGGAAACCGGGCTCCAAATGGAAAAAATGGCCTACGACCACGAAACGTAGCCTACGGACACTGAGAGATGATCTACGAGAGCTCTCCCTCCCTTCGGGAAGAGAAAACAGAGAAAACAGAGCCTGGTTCGCAAACCGAGGCAAGGCACGAAAGAGTCCGGAAGTCCGGAGGCAAGGCTTGCAGCCGGGACTCTGAAACTTCTGAATGAGCACAATATGCAATATCACCGAGCGCTCAATCAGTGACGTCTGAGTCTTAAGGTCGGTAAAAAATGGAGTGTCTACAACACTATGAGTAGTGATCGATCCTTCTTACAAATCTTATCATGTTAACAAAATGATGTACTAAACAACTTTAAGAAGAAAAAAAAAAAGGTTTAATTATTAGTTTTGCATCTTAAAAATTATGAAAATTCATTTTAATTAAAAAAATTACATCCAAAATTTGTGTTTTTTTTATTTCTAGATTAACAAAGTTGATTTAAACGTGAAATTTATTTCCCAAATGCAAGTCTTCAAAAAAAAAAATTCTTGATTTATCATGTTCATGATTATTCTTTCAATCATTTTAATGTTTTAAGAAAATTCTTTGGTTAATTGAAACCAACCTCAACCCATGATTTAAATTAATAAAATCTTTAAATCAATTTAAAAAATCATATTTATTTATAAATTAAATAATTCAAAAAAAAATTAGCATCTCTTGATTATATTTCCCAATCTCTATCTTATAAGATTAGGTAAAAAAAATAAAAATAAAAAATAAATAAATAAATAAATAAAAACAAATTGCAAATTGCAAATGCCAACAATGGAGGGACGAACAATCATGCTTCAGTGAAGAATTTACAAATGCCAGATGAACAACAATGCCAGGGTGGAGCTGCGGGATCCTAAGCTGGCACAATCAACTACTAGTGAGATGGAAAAACCTAAACCTACTTCCTCAATGGATGTATTAGTGGTGAACATGGGAAACCCAAATGATGATGGTGAAGGCTTAGGAATAAGCACAAGCATGCAAATATGCAAACAAACAAAATCATTACAGATCATTAATGCTAATGGAGAAAATTCAAATGAGAGATAGAGGGAATGAAGATTTACAGATTTAAACTGAGTCCGTCAAAATCACAGAAACAGACCAGAAATTTCAAGAATATGTTGTCGATTCAGTTGAAGAAGTTTGTGAAATCGAAGAAACTTGTCAAAATCAAAAACTCCTATAAGGTCTCTACATCCGAGAACGTGAAATTGGTTTTTGTTTCCATCAAATAATCTGAGAAAATGAAAACAGAGAAGGCTGTTGTGAAGAAGAGGGGGAGAAGACGAAGAGACTGAGCCAAGTCAAGACTCGAGAGGCTCTGAAGAAAAAGAAGAAGAAAGTTTCGACCCCTGCGAAGAGGAGCGCATCCAAGTCGGTCTAGGCCCTTGATTATGATGATGATGATGTTTAATGCAAAATCTAAATGCCCGAGTCACCGCCATAACTGACTCACCCGACTTAGTCTTCTCTGCTTTAGATTGTTACCACAGAGGAGGAGCTAAGGCGGTGGCGGCGGAACCGCAGGAAGCCATGCGGACGCACCAAGGATTCTCTAGAGTGTTTTTTTCTTAAAGTTTCTTAAAGTGGTGTATTGTGTGGTCGAGATTTAATGCTGAAAAATTGATGTGACTTGTCATTAAATCTCAGTTACACAATGCACCACTCTAAGAAACTTTAGAAAAAAAAACTCTAGAGGATCCTTGCTCATGCGGACGACAGGAAGTGAAGATGAAGAGAGTGAGAGAGAGAGAGAGAGAGAGAGAGAGAGAGAGAGAGAGGGGGGGTTTAGGAAATTGGGGATTCAAGGCTCATTGGATAAGGTCTCTACATCCGAGAACGTGAAATTGGTTTTTGTTTCCATCAAATAATCTGAGAAAATGAAAACAGAGAAGGCTGTTGTGAAGAAGAGGGGGAGAAGACGAAGAGACTGAGCCAAGTCAAGACTCAAGAGGCTCTGAAGAAAAAGAAGAAGAAAGTTTCGACCCCTGCGAAGAGGAGCGCATCCAAGTCGGTCTAGGCCCTTGATTATGATGATGATGATGTTTAATGCAAAATCTAAATGCCCGAGTCACCGCCATAACTGACTCACCCGACTTAGTCTTCTCTGCTTTAGATTGTTACCACAGAGGAGGAGCCAAGGCGGTGGCGGCGGAACCGCAGGAAGCCATGCGGACGCACCAAGGATTCTCTAGAGTGTTTTTTTCTTAAAGTTTCTTAAAGTGGTGTATTGTGTGGTCGAGATTTAATGCTGAAAAATTGATGTGACTTGTCATTAAATCTCAGTTACACAATGCACCACTCTAAGAAACTTTAGAAAAAAAAACTCTAGAGGATCCTTGCTCATGCGGACGACAGGAAGTGAACATGCTAAGCAGACTAAAGAAAAATGTTTTAAAGCTTTAAAAGAAGACCTCTAAAATAGCATTAATTTATTTTTTTCCTTCTTGTGTTTTGTCTTTTTCCTTTTTTTTTAATATTTTTTTTTATTGGTACATTACCAACAGCTCTACTACAGCTCTCTATCATCTTGGCAGACCAAAACCCTGAAATGTCAATGACATTTTAAAAATTATGAGAATAATAATGGTTGTTTTAATTAAAAATGAAGAGATTATTATAAATCATATTATCTATTAAATTTTTTGAATGTAACGGTGATGCCATTGTTATTGACATGCAAGTATAAGTAATTTTATTATAGAGATATGAAATTTATTGGATTGTTAGTTATATTTGACACATGAGGTTCATTCTCTATGTGTTCATGTACTATTGGTTGGTGATATCACATGTTAATGATGACGTGGTATTATCATAATATTGAATTTTTAATCAAATTTTGTATAATTTTTTTTATTATTATATAATTTATTTTAAGATTTATATCTATATTTTTTTGTATTATTCATGATATATTAGTTACAAATAATATTATTTTTTTGATATTTTTTAAAATTAATTATAAAAATATGCATGAAAATTTTATAAAAATTTTAAATATTATAAATTAATAAATATTTTTTCTAATTTAATTTTCTGACTCCGCTACTGAAAAGGGAGATGCGAGGAGTGGGACGGTTTATGAAGGAAGAAAGGCGGCGACACAGAGATGGTGTTGACGATGAATACCAAAGAGAGACGTGTACACAATATATATATATACACGTGGATAGTTTAGTAATTGTATCTTTGTGCCATGTTTGATTCACAACACTAATAGTGAGGTATTAATAATCTTATTAAATTAGTGTGGTATTGCTATCCCACCCCTACCCCATTACTAATAATCCTACAAATTTGTTGGATTAATTATCCATTGGATTAATAATCCTAAACTAAAATGTCAAAACAAACATAGGATGATTGGGCCCACGGATTAATAATCTCAATCCCATGCTTTAATCCTTCCAATCAAACATGCCCTTGTGGTAATGATAAATACACCCATAATAATGAACTTTTCACCGATTGTTTCTTAATAAATAAAAAGAAACTTAAGGTGGTGTTTGGCAAGTGGTTTAGGGGCTAAAATAGCCACAAAAGACAAAATAGGCTATTTTAGCCACAACAAACAAAACATCACTCCAACCCATAATCATTACACTCTTCTCTCACAAAAAAAGTCAAAAAAGCTAAAAAGCCAAAAAGCCCTTCCCAAACCAAGCTTTTTAGCCCAGGCTAAAATAGCCAAAAAAGCCAAATAGCCAAAAAGCCAACTCACTTCCCAAACGGAGGCTAAATAAAATATAAGGGTCGCGTTTGATAAAATTTTTTAAATATAATTTGAAAATAAAATTATATTTTGAATTTGTATATTTTAAAATTATGATTTAAATGTAAAAAATTTATTTAATTAAAAATTTTGAAAAGAATTTTTAAAATTTAATTCAAATTATTAAATTTAATTCAGACTGAAAAACATTTTGTCTATAACAACTTATTCAGCCAAAATGATCAAATTACTCTCATTATTCATTTCCGTCCGTTGAATCACACGTATAGTATAGATTATGCATTACGCTGAGAGAGCCATATGAATCTCTCTCCTTTTTCTCTTTCTAGAAAACCAAGCCTCCTCTCTCTCTCTCTCTCTCCTCCTTTTCTCTCTCTTATCTGCACCCGCCGCCCTCTCTTTCTCTCTCTTCATCTTCACCCGGTGAGTTCGCCGGAGCAATCGTTGGAGCACGATTTGGCTCGGATCAGATCGGAGCCAGACGCGGTGGAGCAGAAACTCCGATCGAAGCATGAGAATACTCTAGAATCGACATCTCAGTCTCCGATCCGCCGTCGTCTTCGATCCTGCGCAACCTCACTCTCACCGAACCCTACATTTTACCGCCGGAGTGGGTGTTCGATCACTCCTCCGGAGACCGTGTGCTCGGAGTGCCGTGGAGCGACAAAATCCCTCCGGTCGCCTCGCCACTGCTGTGGCTCTCCTTCCTTCGCTACCGCAGACGACCATCTCAACCGCCGATGATCTCAGATATGCGATCTGAGATCTCAAACAGATCTGAGGTTCACCGTTAAGCCGTTCTCTCTATAACAGACCTGTAATTCCTAGGTTTGGTGCTCTATCTGTCTCTCTTCATTTCACTTCTGACTCGATTCAATACATATGTATATAAATATGAATCTATATATTTTGTGTCTCTCGCTCGCAGATCTGTGGAAAACTAGGGTTTCGACAGACGAATCTCCCTGGATTTTTCATCACCAATTTCTGTACATTTCGATTCAAATTAGATATTTTTTTATCCTTGTTTCGTTTTTAAGTGTAATTTTTATTGATCATTGTCTCTGAGCAATTCGTCAATGGAGACTCAGACGATCGTAGAATTTCCTCACAAATCTATTTATTTATATGTGTGTATACATATCCGTATGTTAATTTATTTACTCTACTGTAGCATCAGTGAACTTGGCTTTTGAATGTTCTCATGGTTTTGTGATTCGACTTGCAAATTCGGATTCAATTGATGCAAAATTCGATCTAATTAGTTACTATTTTTTTTTAAATATTTGTCTAAAATTGCTTTATTTTGCTAGGTGTTTAATTTGAGGGAAGCAAGAGTTTGTAAAATCTACTGTAGAATGTATTTCTAGAAATGGTTAATTTCAACTAGAGTTTTAATTGATTAAATTTGGACATTTCAACAGATCATAACCTCTTGTTTCAACAGATAACAGCTCTATGATGGCTCGGATCTGAACAGATTTGTAATAGCATTGATAACTTTCGTATTTCAACATTTGGTAGAACATATAGTTTTGTATTTGAACAGATAATTTGGTTGAAGATATGCATTTAAAAAAATTCAACAGATAAGAAAATTGGATTAAAAAAACAGATAATAAAAATTGTACAGTTATTTGAACAGATAAGGGAAAATTGAACCGATAATCAAAAAATTAGAAGGATAATAAAAGTTTGAACAGATAGTCAAAAAAAAAATCAACAGATAAAAAAAGTTCACAAATAAATTAAGAGGTAAAATTAAAAATAAATTGTCCTCTCAAAATAACAAAAAGATTTCTCAGCAAATCATTTCATAAAGAGTAAGCTTTTCACCAATTAAAAATATTCATTAGATTGAATTTATTACTACTTTTCTCTCAAACATAAACTTTTTCTTCTTCTTTTTCTTCTTCTTCTAATTTTACTGCTCCATTTTTTCCCCCTACAAATTTCTATCGAAATCTGTACTCCAAATATATTTTAAACTTTTGTTTTGTATTTGTATTTTATTATGTTTTTGGACACTTTTTTTTTTTTGTTTTCTTTTTCCCTCAAATTTTAGTGTTTTTAGACAAAAAAAAAAAAAAAAAGATTTTAGACACTTTCCTATGATAAGCTTTTGAACAGAATCGTTCTTCTTAGTCTTTGGACAAGTAGGTTCTTTTTGTTTTTGTTTTTGATTTTATTTTAATTAGTTTTTTTGAGCTGGCATTTAGCAAGCAACTGAAATTTGTGGACTTCTTAAAAACTTTGGGCAAGTAGGTTCTTTTTGTTTTTGTTTTTGATTTTATTTTAATTAGTTTTTTTGAGCTGGCATTTAGCAAGCAACTGAAATTTGTGGACTTCTTAAAAACTTTGGGCAAGTAGGTTCTTTTTGTTTTTGTTTTTGATTTTATTTTAATTAGTTTTTTTGAGCTGGCATTTAGCAAGCAACTGAAATTTGTGGACTTCTTAAAAACTTTGGGCAAGTAGGTTCTTTTTGTTTTTGTTTTTGATTTTATTTTAATTAGTTTTTTTGAGCTGGCATTTAGCAAGCAACTGAAATTTGTGGACTTCTTAAAAACTTTGGGCAAGTAGGTTCTTTTTGTTTTTGTTTTTGATTTTATTTTAATTAGTTTTTTTGAGCTGGCATTTAGCAAGCAACTGAAATTTGTGGACTTCTTAAAAACTTTGGGCAAGTAGGTTCTTTTTGTTTTTGTTTTTGATTTTATTTTAATTAGTTTTTTTGAGCTGGCATTTAGCAAGCAACTGAAATTTGTGGACTTCTTAAAAACTTTGGGCAAGTAGGTTCTTTTTGTTTTTGTTTTTGATTTTATTTTAATTAGTTTTTTTGAGCTGGCATTTAGCAAGCAACTGAAATTTGTGGACTTCTTAAAAACTTTGGGCAAGTAGGTTCTTTTTGTTTTTGTTTTTGATTTTATTTTAATTAGTTTTTTTGAGCTGGCATTTAGCAAGCAACTGAAATTTGTGGACTTCTTAAAAACTTTGGGCAAGTAGGTTCTTTTTGTTTTTGTTTTTGATTTTATTTTAATTAGTTTTTTTGAGCTGGCATTTAGCAAGCAACTGAAATTTGTGGACTTCTTAAAAACTTTGGGCAAGTAGGTTCTTTTTGTTTTTGTTTTTGATTTTATTTTAATTAGTTTTTTTGAGCTGGCATTTAGCAAGCAACTGAAATTTGTGGACTTCTTAAAAACTTTGGGCAAGTAGGTTCTTTTTGTTTTTGTTTTTGATTTTATTTTAATTAGTTTTTTTGAGCTGGCATTTAGCAAGCAACTGAAATTTGTGGACTTCTTAAAAACTTTGGGCAAGTAGGTTCTTTTTGTTTTTGTTTTTGATTTTATTTTAATTAGTTTTTTTGAGCTGGCATTTAGCAAGCAACTGAAATTTGTGGACTTCTTAAAAACTTTGGGCAAGTAGGTTCTTTTTGTTTTTGTTTTTGATTTTATTTTAATTAGTTTTTTTGAGCTGGCATTTAGCAAGCAACTGAAATTTGTGGACTTCTTAAAAACTTTGGGCAAGTAGGTTCTTTTTGTTTTTGTTTTTGATTTTATTTTAATTAGTTTTTTTGAGCTGGCATTTAGCAAGCAACTGAAATTTGTGGACTTCTTAAAAACTTTGGGCAAGTAGGTTCTTTTTGTTTTTGTTTTTGATTTTATTTTAATTAGTTTTTTTGAGCTGGCATTTAGCAAGCAACTGAAATTTGTGGACTTCTTAAAAACTTTGGGCAAGTAGGTTCTTTTTGTTTTTGTTTTTGATTTTATTTTAATTAGTTTTTTTGAGCTGGCATTTAGCAAGCAACTGAAATTTGTGGACTTCTTAAAAACTTTGGGCAAGTAGGTTCTTTTTGTTTTTGTTTTTGATTTTATTTTAATTAGTTTTTTTGAGCTGGCATTTAGCAAGCAACTGAAATTTGTGGACTTCTTAAAAACTTTGGGCAAGTAGGTTCTTTTTGTTTTTGTTTTTGATTTTATTTTAATTAGTTTTTTTGAGCTGGCATTTAGCAAGCAACTGAAATTTGTGGACTTCTTAAAAACTTTGGGCAAGTAGGTTCTTTTTGTTTTTGTTTTTGATTTTATTTTAATTAGTTTTTTTGAGCTGGCATTTAGCAAGCAACTGAAATTTGTGGACTTCTTAAAAACTTTGGGCAAGTAGGTTCTTTTTGTTTTTGTTTTTGATTTTATTTTAATTAGTTTTTTTGAGCTGGCATTTAGCAAGCAACTGAAATTTGTGGACTTCTTAAAAACTTTGGGCAAGTAGGTTCTTTTTGTTTTTGTTTTTGATTTTATTTTAATTAGTTTTTTTGAGCTGGCATTTAGCAAGCAACTGAAATTTGTGGACTTCTTAAAAACTTTGGGCAAGTAGGTTCTTTTTGTTTTTGTTTTTGATTTTATTTTAATTAGTTTTTTTGAGCTGGCATTTAGCAAGCAACTGAAATTTGTGGACTTCTTAAAAACTTTGGGCAAGTAGGTTCTTTTTGTTTTTGTTTTTGATTTTATTTTAATTAGTTTTTTTGAGCTGGCATTTAGCAAGCAACTGAAATTTGATCAACAAAGAGATATAAAGTGATGTGGGTTCAACGGTTGCTCACATTCAAATTCAAAATTAGGAGGGAAGCCTAACAGCAAGTGATGGCATAGTGGAGCTAACTATAAGGCGACATGATCAGCGATCATGGAGGAACGATTCGACGGTTGGAAGTGCAGTTCGATGGTCATTTTTGAGGAGTATAAATAGCAGAGAAGGACCCAGAAAAGTCTCCAGACTCAGATCCAGAAAACCAGTTTTACTTTACATTATTTTTCAGTTTTACATTTCTTGTTCTTTACATTTCTGTACTTCAAATTCCTGCACTGCATTTCGTTCATAGGAGTAGATTTCAAGTAGATTGTTGCTGTAGACCTCTACGAGGCTGATTCAGATCCTTGTAAGTCTTTTATTTTGCTTAATGAAATACTACAACTGTTCTTTATTTACCCATTGTTTTCTTAATTCTCCTAACAAAGCCACCAGTAAAAGTTCTCTTCATTGAGGCTGCAAGAACTAAAACACAATCGTTTGATAATTGGTTGGCAATTAAATTTCTATAAGGACTGATTGATCCTTGTTGGCACGCTCACAGTTACAAAAATAACCTTTGAAAGCCAAAAAAGCCAACATATATTTTTGGCACGCCCTGTGGGACTAATTGAAATGGCTAGACGTAGGAGACAAGGAGAAAATGAACGCTTGGAAAAAGACGTGGAAGGAGAAGTAGAAATACCTAATCCAGAGGATAATGTGATAACATATCCTGTGGAAACACCTATTTTATCAGAACCTATAGTCGAACAGACCAGCACTTCAGAACAAGTATCACATGTTCATAATATTAGACGAGGCCAAGGAATTGGACCGTCCACTGTTCCATCTACTCAGCCAATGAATCTATGGGGTGGCCTAGTAGATGCCATGGGACAAACAAGGAGAAAATGAATGCTTGGAAAAAGGCGTGGAAGGAGAGGTAGAAATACCTAATCCAGAGGATAATGTGATAACATATCCTATGGAAACACCTATTTTATCAGAACCTATAGTCGAACAGACCAGCACTTCAGAACAAGTATCACATGTTCATAATATTAGACGAGGCCAAGGAATTGGACCGTCCACTGTTCCATCTACTCAGCCAATGAATCTATGGGGTGGCCTAGTAGATGCCATGGGACAACAGTTAATAAATACAATGAAAAGGTGGGCAACATCCTTTTTGGATCGAATGAATACCCACCAACCAACAAATACAAGACACATGGACGAAATTTCAAATGTCTCTCAACAAAGATTGGCTAGAGATAAACAGCCTGTGCAGATTAATGGACATTCTAATGGTCAAATTAGTAATCAAAACTATGAAAGACCATCACCTCAATCTTGGTATGAACCTATTTCGAGGTTTAATGCTAGTCAAAATGCCTTATTACTTAACAGTGAAGCCATGCAAATTGGTGGATCTGGCCCAGTACAAGAAAATGGCATAAGGATGCCCCAAATCCCATGTTCGAAGCCATACCTGGCACGAGGGGGTTCACAAACCCTTTATTCGAATTTATACCCGGGGGTGTAGACACCCCATTTTTGACTGACCTTAAGACTCAGACGTCACTGATTGAGCGCTCGGTGATATTGCATATTGTGCTTGTTCAGAAGTTTCAGAGTCCCAGCTGCAAGCCTTGCCTCCCGACTTCCTGACTCTTTCATGCCTTGCCTCAGTTTGCGAACCAGGCTCTGTTTTCT